TAGCATATATTAATATATGCTTTCAGAGTAGTACCTACTAGGTATGTGTGTATATATACCTCAGATAATATATACTACCAGAGTAGTTGAACCTACCATCTTTGGAGCTCAGCAGCACTGCTGGTCAGTCAGTCGTGACTACCTGGTAAACAGGAGACTGTACTTCTTTCTGATAGTTGTGAGTGCCTTTGCCGGTACTTCAGACCTTGGAGAAGGTGTAAACTGGAGCTGGAACTGCTCTTGCTCTCTTAACAGTATGCTTACCTACATTCAAATTAATGCAAATGTGATGTGTTTGTTACATATGTGACAAAATAATACAGGAGTTTATTTTTCCTTTCAAAATTATAGAAAGTTTTGTTGTTTCTTTTTAGCTTTAACTTCTCTGTTTTATGTTAGCTTTCCTTATTGCAGGGTTAGATCTGAGGAGAGCACTATTGTTCTATTGTCATTCAACTCTGTAGGTTTTAATTTAGTTACTATCAACTTCTCTTGGATTGATGAGTAATAAACTTGCTCCTTCTTTGAAGGAAATAACTTCACATGTTTTAAGAATGAGTTCTCGTTATCTAACTCCTGTCAAGTTTAGGCTTGGAAAATTCATCAGCACACTGAATTAAGAAAACAGAGGCATAGCTAAGGAATACATAACTAACGTAAACTGAAATAAGGAATTAGGGCCAGCCGCTATTTAGTAATTGAGCTTCTTATGCCAGGATAAATGTAATACTCTGTATTTTGCATATTGAGAGAATGAGAGGAAGTGCACAGGCAATAAATTTGGGGTGGTCTGTAAATCCACTCTGTGTAGTACAGAGGCAATATGTTTCGTTTTATTACTATGTTTATTTTAAGCATATGAGACAAGTGCTTCACTTGCAACCACAGCTTATTCTTGGATCTCTATTGACAACTGACAAGAGTTTCTCAATGTCTTCACTGACCTGGAAGAAACTTCCCTGTGAAATGTCTGGCACATGTTTAGCATAGTTCTTGCATTTCTACTGCTGCTTCCTTTTTTGTTTGTTACAGATGTCATTTGACAGTAGGCATATACTTGTTAGTTTCTGCGGATGTTAGCTTAGTTCTAGCTTCCCTGCTGAGAAAGCTGGTTTTGAACCTATGCCATCCTCTTTTCTTTTTGACAGACTTTTTGATAGCAATTATCTTAGCTCAAGGATGAGGAAGATTCAGGCCTCATTAGGCTCGTTCTTAGTATCAAGCTATTTAAGACCAGTGGAATCTTAAATACTTGCCAGAGATTTTTTTGAGAGTTCTGGTTAAGTCAATACACTAACGATTTCACGTGTATACCAGGATAAGGCTGGCTATTTACTCTATAGATTTGCTTCTTTTCGCTGTTGACCAGCCAAGACCTTTTAGAAAGACTCTTCGTTTGTGTCACTTGACAGAGTAGTCTAAGGACTGGCCATCTCCATGTAAAGGAGTTCCGAATGATATTACTAAGGATCATTTTAAACAGCCTCTAGCATTGCTTTGTCATCAGTAGAAT